CCGACCCCTATGCCGGCCCTGAGGCCCCTCTGGCATGGAAGCTCTCTAAAAGTGGGAGGGCCACTAGCACCCAAACCGTGGCCCTGTCCCGCCCATCACCCCATGCTTCTCCTCCCGCCTATTCTCTGCAAGGCTCCCGCCCTGCACTGCCCCATCCCCCGAGACCACACCCCAGTGCCACCTCTTCTCCATGAACCCTGTACACACACCGTTTCTTTCCCCTGGTCTTTTATTGAACCCAGAATACCACCCCTGAAAGGAGAGTCTCATTTCTATTTGCATTATTTCCCAGCAGGAGTGAGAATAAGACGTGTTGTTGTCAGCTGGGGCTACTGGTGTTATTAATCCGACCAGAGAGCTCTCCCATTGGCTTAGAGCGTCTGCATCAGCGCAACTGCACCTCTGTAAGCGCTGTAGTGTAGCCGTAGCCCTAAAGTGCTGATGGCCAGAAGCTGGGAATGGGTGACAGGGGATGGATCACTTGATGATTACCTGTTCTGTTCTTTCCCTCTAGGGCACCTGCCATTGGCCACTGTTGGAAGACAGGATACTGGGGTAGATGGACCTTTGGTCTCACCCAGTCTGGCCATTCTTATATTAATTGAGAATTCATTCCAGGCGTCCAAATTCATCCCCACATGAGAGCTCTCCTCGACTCAGGATTCAGCTGAAGGTAAAGGAGAGGGGACAAAAGACTCTCCCATGCTATTCCGCAAGTCCAGACCCACAGAACCAAGGAAATTAAGTTGAGACTCGAAATCACAGGGTCAGACCAGTTCAGTTTCTTGGACAGAGGAGAGATTTCCTGTTATTTCAGAAACTTAAGTGCTGCATTCCCCCCCCTCCCCCCAGTATTGTCCCTGCAGACAAGATGTCTCTGACAACGTGCTGGTGCACTCAGGTCAGCTCTGACTCCGCGGGGATTGTCTCCCGCCTTGTTCTGTGCAGCACAGCGCCCCCCAGCACCACGCTGGGACATCAGGATCAGCATCGACTCTGCAGGGAGATGACACCCGACTGTGCCCCTCCCCCTGCTCCCTGCTGCACAGCGCCGGGCTGGGCACTGGGGTCAGCACTGAGGGGCACACGGCCTCTCCTGCCACCCAGAACACAGACCCTGCAGCAGAGCCCCCCCCCTAGTGTCACACTGGGGCGCTGCCAGTCAGTTTATGTGTAAATGAACCCTTCCCTGCTGGCCACTCTGAGAAGTTATCCATAGATTATTTGACTTCTTGCAGTTTGTAACCAAAGATCCTTTTCTTACAACTCGGTGGGTTTACGTGCACACTAATAAGAGAGATCTCTATATGTTTACAGTGTGCAGCTTAATAAATTGTCTCTGGGAACAAAGTACTGATCATGGCTGGAATTGGTGTTTCTTCCCCAGGAAAATGGCAGATACAAGAACTTTCTGGGCTGATTTATTTTTAGAATGGAATTCACACCTTGGCGATCTGTCCCAGGAGGAATCTGAAGAATTCCAGGCTGCTGTCCATGCAGGAAACCTCACTGAAGCCATCACAGTGGTGAAGAAATCTGATGCGTTGTTAAAAAACACCAAGCTCAATGTTGCCATAACCGGAGAGTGTGGCTCTGGCAAGTCATCTTTCATCAACGCCATCAGAAGCCTAGCTGACGATGATGAAGGTGCAGCTGAGACCAACGTGATGGAATCAGCAAAGGAGCCAACTTCTTATCCGCATCCCAAGCACACAAATGTCACAATGTGGGACCTGCCTGGGATCGGGACACCGAATCATCCAGCAAACACAGATGGGGGGAAGGTGGACTTTGCTCGTTATGATTTCTTCATCATTATCACAGCAGGGCGGTTCCGAGAGTCGGATGCCAACCTGGCCCAGGAAATAGAGCAGATGGGGAAGAAGTTTTACTTTGTCCGCTCCAAGGTGGATGAAGACTTGCGTAATGAAAAAAAAAGAAAAACGGAGATCAACGAGGAGGAAGTCCTGCAGAGAATCAGAAACGATTGCATCAGGAATCTGCAAAAAGCAGGCATCGTTTCCCCACAGGTTTTCCTGGTGTCGAGATGGGACTTTGAGAAGTACGATGCTCCCCGACTTCAGGAGACCTTTTTGAATGAACTTGACACTCACAAGAGACATGTCATCTTTCGTCACCTGCTCAACGAGTCTGAAGTCTTCAACTGGAAAAAAGAGGCCGTGGAGCAGCAGATCTGGAAGCAAGCCTTTAAGTCAGGCGTTATCGCTACTATTCCTCTCCCATTTCTCTCTGTTTGGTGGGATGTTGGCACCTTGGTGGATAACATGACCAAGTTCTGTGAGAGCTTTGGCCTGGATGATGATTCCATCAAAGCACTTGAAAAATCCATGCGCGAGTCTGGTGAGCTGAAAACCGTGATAGAATTCCCGCTGGCCAAAGAGACATCAAGAGATGAGGCATTAAAGCTTCTGAAAGAGGCTACGGGGCTAGTTATGATGATAGCTAAGTATTTCATTAGCATGATCCCAGGGATTGGTACTGTGATAGCAGCAGTGATGTCTTACAGGGTCATGGGCAGATTGCTACGTACTTTTGTGGCTCGAGTTGCAGAAGATTCTCAGAGAGTCTTGAAAAGGGCTTTGGAGTGAGCAGCGATAACAGATTAACAAGAGCCACAAAAGAGCAACGTACCTGCTATCTCATGGCAGCTGGAGATCAGAGCCACCCTGTGGGGAGAGACATTTCCCTTTGTTCTCAGCTGCAGTGCAAAAAAGACGCTCTCAAAAAAGGTCTCCAGAGTTTGGTGTATTTTAAAAACAAATATTCATTTCTAATGTAGGGAAGCGGGTAAAGTTGAGGTAAAGGTCTCTGATCCCACAATTTCTGTTAAACACCCTGAAGGGAAAGTTGAGGGAGACTCTCAGAACAAATACCGTGAAACGAAACTTTGCTCTATGTTATTTAGTAATAATACCTGACAAGTTTTAAGACATTCTCCAGTTTTCATTATTTAAGCTGCTGGGGCCATACCCTCATATGGTGTAAAGTTAGTGTAACTTTCATAGATTCCAAGGTCAAAAGGGACCATTGTGGTGATGATCAAGTCTGATCTCCTGCATAACACAGGCCTGAGAACTCCCCCATGATAATTCCTAGAGCAGATCTCTTAGGTCTGGTCTATACTACCCGCCTGAATCGGCGGGTAGAAATCGACCTCTCGGG